GCTAAGGAAGACTTAAGCATGGTGATCACTACCTTACAAGGCATGGCCAGGGGTGGTATTCACGATCACGTTGGTGGTGGTTTCCACAGATACAGTGTGGATGAATGTTGGCATGGTTAGTCCACCTCATTTACTAGTTCTATTACCTCAATACTAGTGGATGTTTACTGATTGCATTAACTGAGTTATCAAGAGAACTCAATATCCTTGCAGTACCACATTTTGAGAAGATGTTGTATGACCAAGGGCAACTTGCTAATGTCTATCTGGATGTTTTTTCCATCACAAAAGATGTGTTTTATTCTACCATGGCTCGGGATATTCTCGATTATTTGAGAAGAGATATGATTGGTCCTAATGGTGAAATATTTTCTGCGGAAGATGCTGATAGTGCAGAATCTGAAGGTGCTACAAGGAAAAAGGAGGGTGCTTTCTATGTTTGGACCAGTCGTGAGGTACTCTTACTTTTCAGTTACTGGCTGGTTTTTGTTGAGGAAACATTAGCCCTTACATGGTGAATATGTTAATACTCCTCTCTAGTATGGTAGCTTGCGTTGAAATATGATTGACTCGTATTTTTTTCTATCCTATGTTAAGTATCGTGCTGATAACTTTTTAACAGGGCACAAAGTATCCTTCTTGTGATCATGGATTTGGAGTTTTAATTGTTATTATATCTATTGACATTTCTTTGTCTTTGCATCAATTATTTGTCGTATGTATAATGACTCTCTTCATCTTGAAAGGTTGATGCCGCCCTAGGAGAACATGCAAATCTCTTTAAAGAGCACTACTACATTAAATCATCAGGTAACTGTGATCTGTCAAGTATGAGTGATCCGCACAATGAATTCAAGGGTAAGAATGTGCTTATAGAGAGAAATGGTACTTCTGCAATGGCATCAAAATATGGTGTGCCTGTTGAGAAGTATCTAGAGATTTTGGGGATGTGTCTACAAAAGCTATTTGACATAAGATCTAAACGCCCGAGGCCGCATTTGGATGATAAGGTATCATTTGGTAGACATGACTTGATAATTTTCTTTTATATGTTCGTGTGTGTGTGTGTGCGTGTTTTATCGAGTTGATACTGAAATGTTAGCCATCTGATGTTGGATAGGTCATCGTGTCATGGAATGGACTTGCAATTTCCTCATTTGCTAGAGCTTCTAAAATTCTGAAGGGTGAACCTGTAGGAACAACATTCTATTTTCCTGTTGCTGGCACTAATGTAAGATACTGAACTGCTTCTGGCTTGTGAAATTAGTTGATCAAGCATGTCTCATAAGACTTGTCATTTTGTATGAGGTTCTTGTTGCGGAATGTAAAGTGAGTAAAATGATTTATAGAGCATGTTTTGTTTTTTCTCTGGAATTATAGTTTGCAGGTGGTTATTTTTATTTCACCTCCCCTCTGTTATCCATTGAATCTTTTTATGCCATTTCGTTGAGGTTGAAAGGTGAAGATAGGATCAAATCAAGAAAAAAGTTTTTTGTCAGGTTCATACGGGGAAGACATAGTAGGGTGTGACTTTTATGTGCTGTACTTGAGTGCTTGTTATACATTTGTGGTCGTCATTGATTGTTGTGAAAGTCTGCAAGGTTTTGGACCCTACTCCATAACCATGATAATTTTTTGAGCATCATTCCCTTTTTCAAACTCTCTTGTAGCCTTGTGTATGTGAAACCTGTGGAATCTCCTGGATTTTGCAGTATTATTCTTAACTATTTAGATTCACTTTCCTCGAGTATTTTTGTTCTTGCGTGTTACTTTAACCATTTATTGCTAAACACCTTTTATCTCTGGTGGATCTTAGTCAGAGGAGTACAGGGAAGTTGCAGAAAAGGCGGCATCTTTTATTAGGAAAAATCTTTACAACCAGCAAACTTGCAGGCTGCAGCACAGTTTCAGGAATGGCCCTTCTAAAGCACCTGGTTTTTTGGACGATTACGCATTCCTGATATCAGGACTACTGGATCTTTATGAGGTTGGCGGTTCAGTATTTTGGCTAGCATGGGCAATTGAACTACAACACATGCAGGTAAAAACCTGAAAGCTACTTGTCCTTTCGACCTTATTTATGGTTCTTGCTGTATAAATTTGTTTCTTTTCAGGATGAACTCTTTCTTGATAAAGAGGGAGGAGGTTACTTCAACACCCCAGGGGAAGATCCATCTGTTCTCCTCCGTGTGAAAGAAGATCATGATGGTGCTGAGCCTTCCGGAAACTCTGTTTCAGTTATCAACCTTGTAAGGTTAGCTTCCCTGGTCAGCAGCACTAAGTCTGATAACTACAGGCAGAATGCAGAACGCCTTCTGGTATGGAGAACTTCAGAACGAAACAATTTTAAAAAAATTTGCTTTTTTTCCAGTCCGTGAGCATGTTTGGCTGAGCTTTTAAAATGTCGACAGATATGCGAATAAGTAAGATTTAAATATATTATAGTTTTTATTGGTCAAAATTAGAAATAAGTGATTTACTTATTTTGAGAGTAAGAGTAGAGGTGTCAATCCGAGTGGTCCGGGTCGGGTCGGCCCGCCATCATCTGAGCCCAGTAACGGCCCGGGTGAAAAAAGTCCACCCGCTACGGGTTTCGGGTCGGCTCACAAAATTTGGATTACAACACGGGCCCGCCCGCTGACTTATCCGAGATGAACCCATGCAGGTCACGGGTCGCGGTTTGTTCCGGTTTGACCTGTATGATTGTATAAATAAAATTATAAAAATATAGAATTTTTCATATTTATATTAGAAAATATTTTTTTTTGTTAAATGTAAATTAAGAATTGAACAAAATGATAAATTCATTTTTATACCAAAAAATGTTTAAATAGAATTCAAATTTAATATTACGTGAATTATTTATAATTTTGCATATACAAAGAAATGTTTACATAGAATTCAAATTTAATGTTACATGAATTATTTATAACTTTGCAAAGTTAAATTTAACTTAAACAAATAACAACTAAATGCATTTCTAATTACTATTATCAAATATTTATAATATAAGTATATCCCAACTAGGTCGGCACCTACTTTTTTTCAAATTTTTTTAATTTTTTTTCACGGGCCAGCGGGTTAACCGCGGCCCATGAAGGTGCAACCCGCGAAGCCGGCGGGTCGCACCTCCTTGACCGTGAACCGCCCGCTCGGGTCACGGGTCGGCCCGAGGTCCCGAGTCGATCCGGGCCTGTTTTCAAGGGTCTGGTTGGTCCGTCCGTCTGTCTTGACACCTCTAAGTAAGAGTAAACTCTATAATATTTTTTTTTTTTTAACACTTCGAGTAAGAAAAAGTAGCGTAGTCAAGCATGTTTGGAAACAGAAACTTTTTTATAAGCTTAGCTGAACATTTTTGGAATCTTGTCCTCGGGTTATCCTGCAGGCTGTTTTTGAGAAGAGGTTGAAAGATACAGCTATGGCTGTGCCATTGATGTGTTGTGCTGCAGATATGCTCGCCGTGCCTTCCCATAAGCAAGTAGTCCTGGTTGGACGTAAGCCTTCTGTAGAATTCGACAGCATGTTAGCTGCTGCACATGCATCATACAATCCAAATCGAATAGTTGAGTACTTTCTCACACACATTACCCACCTTGCTATCCTTCTATACCTATTATCAGACCCCCTTTTACTGGAACTCTGGTGCTATTGTGTGCAGGTGATCCACATAGATCCTAATGATGATGAAGAGAGGGCATTTTGGGAGGAGACTAATGAAAACATTGCTCTGATGGCTAAAAGCAATTTTGCGGCTGATAAGGTTGTGGCTTTTGTGTGCCAAAACTTCACTTGTAGTCCTGTGGTCGATAATCCAAGGGCCCTGGAATCTCTGCTCTTGAAGTGAAGAAAGAATCAGTTCAATGACAATCTATAAAAATTATCTAACGTGCCCCTTGGAGAATTTAGAAATTTGATGCTTTGATAGAATAAAAGATACTGAATGAAATATTTTGAACATCGATTTATTAATAAAAAATCTTCAAATCTTCTCCAACATTTGAATTGTCTTAACAAGAACTCTGTTTTAAAGTCAAAGCGCTGAAAGGAGAATGTAAGGAAAACCACAAAGTTAAATCGACTTGCTGGTGTAAGCGAGGACATTAACTGGAAGAAGTATGCAATGTGTTATTTCAGTAGTTTTGTGGGTGTTGCTTAGCATTAAAAGCCCATGTGTATTGTTGGGGTTTAAATGACTTCCTTTAATCTCTGAAATTAATACAGCAACACAGGAAGCATGTTTGCACCAGCAGAGAAAGCAAATAGACAGAAGAAACCAGCTGAACAGATGTGGAAGAACTGAATTGGAACAGCAGAAACATTAACCAGCAGAGAATCGAAACCAGAGCAGATTATGCAGCAGAAACAGATGCAGGGAAACAACAGAAAAAGACCAGCAAGAAGCAACACTGAAGATCAGACTTTGGAACAGGAAGAATGATCTTCCTTAAGTCTTTATTCAACCAAGACTTAACATGATTTTCTTAACCAGAAATCACAATAAAGATTTGCTAGATTTACAAGAGTTTTACCACTCTATCTAATCACACTCTCTCCTACGGAGATATTACATCCTCTCTCTCTCTCAAGCTCTCATCATTCGTACATTTTCGAGCTCCACTTTTCTCCAGTCCTAATAGAAGCATTTATAGGCACAAATGGGAATCAAAGTTAGTTATTAATTACCTAACTACCTAAGGTTCCATTAAGTTGAAGATTCTAACTGAAAATGGTTGGTCTAAACAGCAAAAAAGAGCTCAAATCTCGCAACTGAAATTTCTGATTGTTTGAGGAATCACGAACCTGATTTAAGGAATCAGATTCTTACATGTATCTATGTTTTACATATATAAGCTCTTGTTCATTGTCTACAGAATTCAGTTGGAAATCATAATAATACACAAGCAAAGCAAACTTGGAAAGTTTATTGCATGAGTGTTGAAGCAACTCGAAAATAATGATACATCCATTACTTTATTATGAAATTTCCCATGGGCTCGATTCTACTTCGCTGCTAGCATTTTGAGGTCGCAGTTGGCTGCCCCCTCAACCTTCTCTGGATCAAGTTCCCGAGTGCTAGAAGATTCCCACTGTTCAAACAATTCTGATAGTCTGGCAGCCAGATTCTGCTTTGCTTCAGGGGAAACACCGTGCTTGCCAATAATCGACTGAAGCACTGCTTCTGATAATTGTTTGTTCTCTATAACTGCATTCCAGGATTCAGGTAAAGAATCGCCTTTCGAGAAACTGATCTGTAGTAAGCAGTTAAGACAAGGAGAAAATATCGGAAAATCAGAAAAAACGAGACACGAACATTCATCAGGTACGATGATTTACGTCTACATGTTCTACTACATACCGTCAATGAACCAAGCGGCGATTGAGTGAAAAGAATGGAGGAGCCGGGTGGGAAGTTTTCGTTCTTGAAGACCTCGAGGAACTTTTCTATTGCTTTAGACTCTGCATCTGTGTAGGTTCCAATTGCTTTCCAATGAGCAACACAGTTTTCGGCCACCTTCTCTGAGTATTGCTGACCCGTTAATGGCAAGATCGTTGTCACTTGTATGAATTTTTCAAAAGGACCTAGAACACGTAAGACGCAAATAACCTTAGCCACGCTTCAAATATAACAAAATTATCATTCTAACCTTTACTCTACTGGGCATTACAGATTCATAGTATACCCGGGAGTAATTATATTACTACCACAAAATTTATTAAGTGCACAACAATATATTCACACCACGATTAAAACATAGTGTTAATAAATACACCACAACAAATTTACAATTATACACCTAATTTAATAAAAAGGAAGAATTATTGGTTTTAATAAATACGCCGCAATTAAATTTCTCTCCTTTTCTTTTCTTCCATACATTTCTTTTCTTTTCTTTCATACACTGACTTACACTCAACTTCATGGACGCAAATGGTCTCAAATCTTTACTTAAATTACGTTTTGATCCAAATTCTTCAATCTTCACTGGCCCTTCATCAAATATGTAAAATTTTAAAATAATCGTTCTCGTCCATATTCATATTTTTAATATAATTTTTATTTATGTCATGAAAACCCTTGCCCACGATCTCAAGGTAAAACAACCTTGAGAAAAATTAAGTGGGACGAATGAAAGGATTTGCCCCATGTAGAAGCAGTATGAAAAAGAGGAATTAATATACACACAACACAGTAATTGAGATACAATGGTAAAATAGAGTATAAATTCATTTAACGTGAAGAAAAGAAAATTATCTTGCCTCCGTGGAAGAAAGGAAAAGACGCCGGAATAGCTATAGCTATGAGCAATGAGATTTTAAGGAAAAAGAAAGAAAAAAATTATGTTTTATATTTGTGGGGTGAAAATAATTTATTGAATTAAAAAGTATATTAAAACTTTAATTATATAATTTTAGTTAAGAATATTTACGTAAATAAAAAAATTGTGGTGTATTTAATAAAATTTTTAGCGGTAAATAACTGGGGCTGCCGGAACAGACCTAGAACACGTAAAGGCACAAATAACCTTAGCCACGCTTCAATATAAAAAAATTACCATTCTAACCTTCACTCTACTGGGCATTACAGATTCATAGTATACCCGGTACTGCCGGAGTATTGTACCTGTAACGATGTCGTTGAAGAACTCGACAGAATCAGTCAACTCCTCTGCTGTCTTCCCCTTCCAGTTAACGGCGAGTGAAGAAACGGCGTTATGTTCCAAATACACTCCGATCGCCGTGAACTTGATGAACTTGCCATCAATCTCCAAACCCCTTGCCCCTGCGCACATTAGCCACGACCCCCACTCTCATTAATTTCAAACAATAACGATATCTAGGGCGAATTTACTTGCATGCACTTGTACTAACCTGCGCCGCCGAGGAATAAGTTTTTGGTGGAGCTGGGTGGCTTCACCTCCGCCGGAAACAAGTAGGAATCAACTTCCAGTTGTGTTACAGCGTGCGATGAAGACATCTCCACTACAGAATCTGTTCTAAGTATTGGTTCGAAGCTACCGGCGAGTTAAATAGTCGTATGTAAAGCCATATACGTACGCAGAAGCGAAGGTTAGTTGGGAAATTGGGGAGTAAGAGCGTGGGGGTTAGGTAAACGTCGTCGTAGGACGACCACAATTTACACCAACCTCCTTGCATTTAAATTTGGGAAAAATTCACTTTCCCTACTTTATCTTTACCCTATTTCAAAAATAACAAAACAACTTTTACATTTTACAAATCAGAAATTTTGACTTATACATACACATTTATATAAATATTTATTTATACATATAAATAAATAAATAAATA